CGTTGCGCAAAATCTTTAATAAAAACTACGTCAAATTAAGCTATAGTTGTATGCCTAATATGACCAGTTTAATTAATAAATATAATAGGAGAAAAATTAAAGACAAACCACGCACCGTCCCCCATAAGTGTAATTGTAGACATAAGGAAGCCTGCCCCCTCCAGGGCAAATGCCAACAAGTGTGCGTGGTTTATCAAGTAAAAATATATAAGGATAAACCGAACAATACCGATAAAAAACCCTAAGGTTTGCATAGGATCTACCCAGAATAATTTCAAAACAAGATACTATAACCACCTTAGTAGTTTCAATAGCGAAACTTACAAACACAGTACTACCTTGTCCTCTTATGTATGGAAGGTCAAACAAGAAGATAATAAAGACACCATTTTGAAATGGGAAATATTAAAAAAAATGTCACAGGTATAAAGCCGGATGATAAATTTTGTTCCCTATGCACGGAGGAAAAGTTAGATATTGCTAGCTATAAAGAACACAATAATTTATTAAATCTAAAATCGGAAATTCTTAGTATGTGTAGACATAGAAAACGCTGGTTATTAGAATAGTTTTTTTTTTTTTCCTCTTTGTTATTTTCTTCTTTTTTCTTTTCGTTGTTCAATAAAGAACGTAACCCCCACCCAACCCCCCTCCCCCCCACCGTTGTTGAGTTTTTACTATGTTTTGTCACGTGGTCATGATTGTTTCTGGTTTAAGTTATATATTCTGTCCCATTTTTTACCTTTTTGGCGAGCTTTACACTGACGATCCGTTTAGGTGAAACCTAGGTAGGTTTGCTTGGCTCTTTAGCTTTATATTATATATAAGTGTAATGTAGGTTCAAATGGAGTATAATTTCAGTGTCAAAACATTGTATTTTTAAAAAGTGCTCAATACAAAGTAGAGCTTTATAATATGTATTAAAAATTATAACAAAAACATGTTATAGTGACTTTCCAAGCGTAGATGGGGCACAAGATCGAATATATGGGGGCACCCAGTGAAGATCGAACTCCCTACTCAGTCGTAACAAGCGAGATAATCTTGCTAACCATTACTTTGCCTCGAGGTGCTACTTAATAGTTATTTTCTAGACGTAGCTTAGGTGTGGCGCAAGGCCGAAAGTATGGGGCACCTAGTGAGGATCGAACTCACTTTTCATTCGTAACTGTTCTAGTGAGACAAGCTTGCTAACCATTGCACCACGCCGATGTACCCACACAAAAAAACATGTTATAAACTGCTGAAACCACCACCTCCTGATGAAGCCCTTATAGTGCTGAAACTTGATTTCATTTATGTAGCAGTTTATAACGTTTTTTTCATTATATATATATATATGTGTGTGTGTGTGTGTGTGTGTGTGTGTGTGTGTGTGTGTGTTCGAGAGTTAGAAAAAACATTATCCGCGCGTTGACCATAACTTGTCTTTAGGTTTGTCAGACTGCCTTCTGCTCATATGTGCTTACAGTTGGTACTATTGTAGTCACGTGATCGAAGGATGAGCTTGATCACACGTGTTTTCTTCCTGCTGCTACAGTGTAAACATGGCTGCTCCACTAGCAGTGTGCGCAAAGGAGGAACAAAGAGCAGTGATCCGAATCTGCAGAGAACATGATACGACGTCGATGTTAACTCGCCGGTTCGCCATTACCATCTCTCGAGCACGCTGCATGTTCTGGTCATTGATGAAGATTGACGGGCGTCCTGCTCCTTCTTCGTGTGGTCACTTTTAAATTTCTCAATGAATTCATACACACTTCTAAGCGGGAGTGCACTGTCGCCATATTGTGTTAAAGCCCCTGATGAATGAAGTTCAGTCCCTGAGACGCCTTTCGACCAGAGATATCGGATCACTGCTCTTTCCTCCTCCTTGTTATATATATATATATATATATATATATATATATATAATTATGCTGATATTAGAGAGTGTATTGTAAGAAACGCTCAAATACAACAAAGATAATGTCCAATTGTTACATTTCCAATAGAAGTTGAAGAACTGGAAGGATCGTTCGATTGGAAAGGTCGAATTTACTGCTTATAAACTTCAATCTTCCATGAATTGTGGCCGAGCGGTTAGGCACGTCAAGCTAAATGACGGTTCCGTATAGGATGCAGGTTCGAATCCTGTCAAAGGACGAATATTTTCTATGAAAATTTCTCGGACATTCAGGCCGGTAAATGTTATTTAATACTGTTTATTATAAACAGAGCATTTACTAAAATACTTGTATCTATAAAAAGAACGTTAAACATAAAAATGTCTTTAATAAATTTTCGGACTTTGACCATTTCTTAACGTGTATATAATATATATATATATATATCGTAATATATAATATGGATATATATATATTTAGGATATATAGATACAGGAAAAGCTCTGTCAAAAAGGCAGATATTAATTACAGAATATCAAACTCTTAAAATCCTATAGGTAGTAATTTTTTCGTTCATGAGGAATTTCTTCAAAACCTCCAAACAAATTACAAATGAAATGGAGTTAAAAATCAAGAGATATTGCTATCTTATTTAGATGGGAAAAAAGACAAGAGTGTTGAATTTTGATGTACTGACCTCAGATTTAACCTTAGTATGTCAGTGTGAATTGGAAACAGTCTGGTTCAGTCAAGCAAAAAATTGATATATTTCATTCAACAAATTATTTTAAATAATATTAAGAGAAATTTTAAACAGAAATATCGAAAACCTTTTTTCATAAGCTTTTTATATAATTAACCAAGAAATTTAAATTAAAATACCAAGAGATTTGAATTAAATGATTAGGTAGTATACAGAGAAACATATTTATAAAGGTTATTACTTTTTATATCCTGATGATTTATTAAAAAACAAATGTACTTTTAACCTTAGGAAAAATATTCAAAACCTGTATTTCATTAAAAATAAATCTGTAAATAAATTTTGAAATGTCTGGTTCGAAACATTTTAAAAAACATTTTCGGAATTAGCGAAAAAAATTTTTTAAAGATTAAATGCAAATTAGTATATGTATATATATTCTTATTTTAGTATTAGTATATATACAGTAGCGTCCAAAAAAGGGACAAAATTTTAAAACCTAATATTTGTTTGACTGTGAAAATGAAATTTTGACAACTGGTAGTCGTTATCATCCATAATAACATACTAAAATTTAACATTTGCAAAGGATAGAAAAGAATTATAACAATTATTTAATTTTCAAAACAGGATCGTCAAAAGTCTGGTTCTGTCAGTATGCTATATTCAAAATTCTAAAGAATAAGTCTTATAAGTCATTTGTAAACGTTGATATATTTCATTCAACTGAGAAATGCTATTTTACAAGGAAAAGCACACCATTAGAGAGATTTCAGAGAAAGTGAAACGTTTATATTACAATGATAGCAAAAAGTTATTTTAAAACCGGCAGACACCGCAAAATTCGGCAAGAGAAGATCGAATAATGCAGCGTATGTCAAAACTTTTTTTGCACAGAAATTTTTTGAATATAATTAATGTGTCAAGAAGACTGTTTGTAACGATTAAAATCGAACCCCAGGAAGAAGAGTTATTCGAAGAATAAGAAGAATGATTATTGCAAACAGGTATGTAATTTGGACATATGAAAAGGGCAAACATATTTTTTCAGTGATGAAAAGGTTATATATTTGGAAATGATGGAAAAAAAAGTCCTGAATATTTTGAAATATCCTAGCAAAATGTATTTAGAAAATAGAATTTGAATGACATGGTATTTGGAATGTTTTTAGGAAAAGTTATCTTGTGGGGTTAAACGCGCAGATCTATAAAAACATTGTTCAATTTCATTAAAAAATTCAGGTTTCGATAGGGCTAAATGCAAGATAATTGTAACAAATGTCTAATGAGTTACCTTAGCGAAAATTATTTAAAAAAACATTTAGGAGTGAAATTATGGAAAGAAAAAAAATTTTTGAAAGATTAAATGGTAAATTAGTACATGATTATATATTAGTTATTGATCGAAATTAGTATTAGTATATATTTATTATTGATTGTACATGTATTTTTATTGTTTTTGCCGTTTCATTGTTTTTCTCAAATTTGTCTTTTTTGGACGTTCCAAATTTGAAAATATATATATATATATATATAAATGATTCAAATTTTAGTATGTTATTATTGATGATGTACCATTTGTCAAAATTTCAGCTTTTTCACAGTTGTTATTTCTAAAAAATATTAGGTTTTAAAATTTTGAAGTTTTGGACGCTACTGTATTAGTATATTCTCTCCCTCAAATATATATATATATATATATATATATAGATATCAGTGTGCAATGTGTGTGTGTGTTTGCGGCAGAAGTACCTCTTAATGTCTTAGAAATAATTAATGGTTAGACATCAGTGGCAATGGTGGATATAAGAGAGTTAATGTCTTAGGAGAAGAAGTCTCTTATATCCGGGTTTCTTAGTTGGAGGGACCGGAGGTTTCTCTTATATCCGGGTTTGGTCTATTTTATATACATTAACACAGGCTCTAATTTTGGACCAGAGAAAATCTCTCTTATATCCGGGTTTCTCTTATATCCGGGTCTCTTATATCCGGGTTACACTGTATTTCTGTCGCACCCTATATTTACATTATTGTGATATGTGTATGTTTTTAAAAAAAGAAATTATATGGGAAAATAACAGATTTGATCAATTTGCAAAACTTTAAGAATAAATCTTCGTGTCTTTTCATTAAATCCTTAAAACATCTTTCGCGACGATTAAACTCTTTTAATATTCAAAATGGAACTTACGTACTGAAAAGCCAATGGTAAGTGAAATTTTCGCTATTTTTTTTTTTCATTTTCTTCTTTTCTTTTCAATTCTCTCTTTATTATCGCCTTGTTTTCTCTTCTCTTTTTTTTCTGAATGAATTGATTTTCTTTTTTATCTTTATTTCTTTTTCTCCATCTTTTTTTCATGTTCTATTTATCTTGTATTCTGTCTTTTCTTTATCTTCTCATTCATTTCCACATGTTTTTTTTTTTTTTTTTTTTTACTATTCTTCTTCTTTCTTATTCCCTCATACCTCGTCCTCCTCTTTGTCTTCGTCTTGAGAAAAAATTTTAAAAAAAATAAAAAACTGAGAAATTAGTTAAGATCTAATTTCTATAACCATACTTCTTCAGAACATGGGCGGTCATGATTCTCCACAACTTCCTCTCCTTTGTAGGTCTTAAAAACGTTTGTCTTTTTTAACTATTCCTCCCACTCCCTTTTCTGCCATCTTTTTACACAAGCTCGTAAGGTGATACTCGCTATGTCTCTCTGATCCTCTTGCCATGATTATGATGATTTTCTAAGTTCAGCTTAGATGTGGCACGAGGATCGAACTCATTACTCAGCCGTAATCGTTCTAGTGAGTCAAGCTTGCTAACCATTACACCACGTTCAGGTGCCCCTTGCCATTATTATGTGCTGTGAGCGTAAAATTTTTCAAGCCCACTTTCTTCATTATGTGTCCCAAAGATTTCAACGGTTCTTTCTGATTCTAAATATGTGTCCTCTTTGTTTTCTTTTTCTTTGAATCCTATTCGTTGCTTACATGTTCAATCTATGGTATTTTCAGCATCTTTCTTTAGAACTACATCACTATTGACTAAAGTCTCCGCTTCATCTATGGGAAAATTGTCCAGCATTTACTGTTATATAGAAGGATAGATAATATATAACAGTTCGGCAGACTTTTCTTTATTTCCAACTGTTGAAACTTGAATAAAGCATGGAATAATAATAATACAACACAAAATGTACGTAAACAAAATGTATTGAAACAAGGAAAAGGTACACAATATTTACAGATAGTTTGGTATATTCTTGGGGAAGACTGTTCCTGTAGAATGGGTTGACTTAGTCGCAGTTCTGATTGGATCTTCTTTCTTACCAACCTATATTTATATGGTCGGTACTTGGGTTTTGTATCACAACACCAACGAAGATTTCCTGTTTCTTTAATCTTTTAAATGACACAGTTAAAGTAAGAATCAAGTGTTCATCCCTCTTACCATTAAACTCGTTTTATATCGCGAGTGGATGGGCGCGTTGTCAAGTGGTTAGAACGTTCGTTTTCTGACCATGACAACCGGGTTCGAATCTTATCATGGTCGGTCTATCAGGAAGGTGACTTTTTGATGCCACCGGTCAACGTACTGGCCGTATTCAAAGTGTTCATCACGCCCAGATTATGCGTTCGTTTTTAGAAATTGTAACTCAGGTCCATTCAATATAATTGCGGTATTAACGACACGTGGATTCTGTGGGTGTTAAAGAAACACAAATGTGTCTGAACAGTCGTCTGCAACAGGGATTGGCAACAGATCAGCATACTCGGAATGGATTTTTCTTATTTGCATTATTTACACCCAGACTGTTGTCCTCATCTTTGTTGTTATCTCAACGTTTCGATCGATGTGCTCTCCAGCAGGTGCTTGTCGATTCGGGAAAGGTACAAGGAATTTCGAACCCTTTATTTAATCTACGGGAGGAGACTATTCTCGTTCCGCTGCCCTTGTTTAGGGATATATCGTTAGTTGTTGTTCAGTAATGCATAGTTATTGCTCACCCCGTTTCCACTGGGTTCAAGAACACACTACTCGGCGTAGGGATTGAACTCTGAATTACTATGTCCCCAAATTCACGAATGAATGCTTTAATCCGCAAAGATATTATATTTAACAGACCCCACCACCACCAATACCACGAGGGTTATATGTGACACAAGGCCGAGTTTAACGTGGGTCATCCGAGCCCGTAGGCTCGGCCAAAAAATCCCTGTAGAACCCGCATCTACCTCCCCGGATTAAACACTGCCCTTCGGCACGGCCTCGTCCGGGTTGCTCTCTGTCCAAGACAGAAAGTTCGACAGGATCTGCGAACAGTCACAGACTCGGTAGAACAGTCTATCACTGTTCCCTAAATAATTTTCTAAACACAGCTTAGATGTCTCACAAGGCCGAAAGTATGGGGCACCCAGTTAGGATCGAACTCACTACTCAGTTGTAATTGTTCTAGCGAGACAAGCGTGCTAACCATCACAGAGCCTTGAGATGCCCAATAGTGATTTTCCAAGCGTAGCTTAGATGTTTTACAAGGCCGAAAGTATGCGGCACCTGATGAGGATCGAACTCACTACTCAGTCGTAATTGTTCTAGCGAGACAAGCTTGCTAACCATTACACTACCTCGAGGAGCCCAATCCGCAAAGCTATTGTGGGTTTTTCACTTCTGAAATAATTTTCTTTACTGAGGACGTCGGTTCATCAGCGAAGTATCTTAAGATAGAAGTGTTTCTATATATATATATATCTACCACTTTTTCTTCGTTTTTTTTTATCTCCCCGTTCGTTTTCCTCTTCTTTTTTTTATTCCTTGTCTGCTTGAAAAATGTTTATATTTTCTTATTTCTCTTTACCGTCTCTTCAAATTCTTTCTTTTCGCCTTTCTCTTTTCTGTTTTCTTTTTCTACCAATTTCCCCTGATCGCACGTCTTTTTTATCTTCTTTTTCTTATGCTCCTATATTTGCAGTCACCTTTCAAAGTGAATCTCAGATGAATTATACAAGAAAAAAAAAAAACAAATAAAAGAAAATAAAAACAATAAAAAAGAAAATAAAGCATGACAGAAAAAAAAATCAAAATCTGAAAACAATTTCTTTGTTCATCCGCTTTATTCGTAATGTGTATTTGTTTATTTATCAGTTGCCTTCTGCCATTGTTTCCTGATTGTCCTTAACACAATTTGTTTCTTCGGGAATATCGTACGAATTTCAAATGAACACATAACCATCACCCACTTCCGGATACAAAATACATGTCTGTTGTTTCGGTTCATCCAAATCCCTCTCCTTCTCTCTCAATCGATCTCTTTACCTCTCACTCTTGATTTCTTCCTCTCGAAACCTCTATTTTCGATTCGATTTCTTTCCCACTCATTATTTTTCTCCTGTCGTCATCACAATCTCTCTGAACCTCTCTTTCCGCATCAATCTCTTTCCCACTCACTCATGATTTCCTCCTGTCTTCATCACAACCTCTTTCACCCTCTCTTTCCGCTTCGATCTTTTTCCTTCTCATGATTCCCTCCTGTCTTCATCACAACCTCACCCAACCTCTCTTTCCGTATCAATCTATTTCCCACTCACTCATGATTTCCACCTGTCTTCATCACAAACGCTTTCACCCTCTCTTCCCGTTGCGATTTCTTCCCTTAAGACCACGGCTAGTTAGATTGACAAAACATCTCAAACTGACAACAGCTCTAAATACAATTATACTCACTGTGTAAAATGCTTTTCTCGTATCTTATTTCTTTGTTTTGATACATGGATTTTTTTTCTTCTTCTGTCATTGTCATTTGCGGCTCGGCAAATACGGCAGATCTTCGTCGCTGTTTCTCTTGACATACAAGCTAAATTCAATCATTCGAAAACCCAAGCCCAGAAGAGATGTTTTATGCAAACTAAGCGTCGACAACGAAGTATTAAAAAAGGGGTTCGGGCTAGAAATTATAGTCACTTTTATTTCCTTTTATACCTGACATTTTCCTTCGATCTTTTACACTTACTTATTACACACACACACTAGTCTGTTAAATCTTGAAATCGATTCTCTGTGATAACTCAAGAATCATGGCCTTTGGTCAGATATTATTTGGGAAATTTGTCCCATGACTACGCTTATAATATATTTATTCCCAATCTCTGTACAACTGTTTTTTTTTACCAAAACTAATTTGTTTATGTCTATCCAAAATACAAAGTTATGTGTCACGGCATTGTCGATTGTTAAAAAAAATTGAGCATTTTCGTTATATTATTTTTCTCGGTTATGAAGTTACGTTTATTTTTTTTTATGGGTGCAGACGAATAAGAAATCATCTTAAATAGAATAGAGAGATAAGATGCCTTAATGTTAATGGTAATATTAACCGTTTCCCTACAAGGAAACATTTGGCATTCATTAATCTAGCAGCCAGTATTTCTGTTGAAATTTATAGTCTTTTTCTTGAAACATTTTTTTAGAAAAACAGGTTTCTCAAATCCAGTAGCTTTTATCATTATTTCCAGTATTCATGGAGGTTTTCTTCTGAATCTTCTATTTGAAGTGATGTAGAATGTTAACCTCTTGTTTATGTCCTTATTGTCTCTTCGAGTTACATGTGCTATCCATTTTAGTTTTTGCTTCTGTTGAAAGTCCTCATGTGATATGGTTTCTGTTATTTCGTACAATTGTTTGTTTGTGATTCTGTAGCGCCATTCAAAAATGTTCAAAGAAAGACGATCTTTGCCAAGACTCTCGGGTTTCACTCTCTCAAAGCTCCTTTTCACCATTTATATTATGAAGCGGTTGTATACAGCTGACAGTTTAGATATTTCTGAAATGGTTTGACGCTATGTATGGCATTTATATGAAAGTCTCGATCTGATGAAGTTATTTAAGAACATGGCTCGAGTTTTCAGGCTAATGTTTTAGTTTTGTAGCAATTGGCGGTGTTGGGCGAAACTACCTATTGTGTTTTATTCTAAACAGCCTATTCTCTGTTCATTTTCTTTTTCTCCTATACTTAATGTGTTATAACTGTTCCATACGTCAAGGTATTTGAAATATAGGTGTCATCACTAATTTCAGATCATAGTTTATATATATATATATATATATATATATATATATATATATATATATACCAATTTATGAAGGCTATGGATAATTCCAAGGAGTATATTAATTGAAAAAGAGCTCAATGTGGGGTTGACACAAAACGATTTTAACCTGTTCTCTTTCTAGCTGAATAACTCAAAGGGTTTTTTTTATGATTCATACGACAAATGCTGTCAAGATGGCTAAACGTCTTATCTGAAAATCTGGAAAAAAGAAACTCGATTAGGTTAGTTTTTTAGATCTTACTTATTATAAAACCCAGGTTGTGTGTGTGTCTGTTCGTTTATATATTGGATCGGATTTCCTACATTTTTCAACCGATTTCAACAAAACTTCACAGGACTACGTAAAATTACCTTGCGATGGTTCTGATAGCGCCAAAAATTGAAAAACACAATTGTTTTTTGCACGAAATCGATTTGAAAACACGATTAAGAGGCATCACTGTTGCCAGAATGAAAGGGGGACAACTCATATCGAGTTATACTTATTATAAAAACCCAGCTTGTGTGTGTGTGTGTGTGTGTGTGTGTGTGTGTGTGTGTGTGTGTGTGTGTGTGTGTGTGTGTGTGTTCGTTGATATATGGGATCGGATTTCCTACATTTTTCAACCGATTTCAATAAAACTTCACTTTTTTTTGCAGGTAGTGTTTCTTATTATCTTGCACACTTTTTTCTTTATTTTTACATTTAGAATGCTCTAAAAATTCCATTTACAAGACAATTGTTTATAATAAAATGCTATTCAATCGGTAGACTAATAACGATTGAAAACAATGTTTTTGTTTGAGTTTGGGTTTGACCAATTCGTAAAAAAAAAAAAAAAACTTATTAAGACATGCGTGTCCGTCAACCTTAAACAATAATCTTTGTCAATTTTATTTTTCAGTCTTTATGATGGTCGATATTTGATCTATCTCTTACTGTTACATCCCAGGGCAACGCGGGGCTGTACTGCTAGTATTAAACATTTTGTGGTATGGATAATTATCCCATGCTGTTACACGATTTGAACAATCTTGCTGTTACACCAGATATATATATATGTGTGTGTGTGAGAGAGAGAGATAGAGAGAGAGAGACGTGCTATAGGTACCATGTAACTCAGTAAAACTTACCGCATGGCCAGATTATCGATAACTAAACTGGCCCCTCCATCAGGCTTTTCTGCTAAGAAGGGTGGCTTGCCATCCAACAGGATTAAGAGAAAAACCTATCAATAAGCGGGTGGATCATTTTGCGCGGTTAACGGCCATCTAGCTCACAGCTCACAGCCCTTAACCTTCTCTAAGATATTCAACGAGAAGTAAAACTGATTGTAACACATGCGACTTGCCAAACATCGATGTCGCAGACTCGCTCTTATTTCGGATTATTGCTTTGACATACAGAGAGTGGGTTTGACCCAGTGCACCGACTTTTTTTTCTTCTATAAAAACAATTCGTATATAAGCATTGTTCGATATATTGAAGATTTTACCTAATGATGCACAGCCAACTCAATGATGTAGAAACTTTTTTTTAAAACAGTTTTTCAAGAAAATATTTTCTCAAATACCCAAACTGTTTTCACTCTTTCTAGTATCGATGTGAATTTCATTCATAACCTTTTGTTTTAGTTAATTAAGAGATAATCATATTGATTATATCATTATTTTCCCTTATAGTTATTTGTACTATCCATTTTAGTTGTTACTGCTGTTGGAAGTCTTCAATTGATGTGGTTTTGTTCCTTATTTGATTCTATAGGGCCGGCCTATAAGATCTGATTTATTGTCTTTAAGACAAAAAGAATTCATTCGTTTGAAGCCTTTTTTCACCACTGATCTAACAAAACAGTTGTATATTGCTAAAATGGCGGTTTTATCGCGGTCCTCAATGCTTTTCTGGCTCCACACATTAAACTGACCTTGTGTTACATCCTGTCAGCATGGGATGGCAAGAAAATACAATCGCTTCTCGGTCTTTTGTTTTAGTTTAGTTTTTCCTTCCGTTTGTGCTGTTAGGCGTCGTGTCAGCGACAAGGCGAGTGGCCTGGAGGAAAGATATCTCGTTGGCTCTGAGAGTGTCTGCCACTGAGTCGCTCCAGCGTCCTCTTGATCAGCCTCTCGCTCTCCAGCCAGAGTACCTAAGGGTGTATTCTTGTAGGGCTGATTGATTGATAGGCATACGAGTGAGGTGTCCGAACCACTTGATCCTCTGTCGTTCGATGTGTTGTATTGTATGATTGGCTCCTACCACATCTCTTATTGCCTCATTCCTGATCTTGTCTCGCCTGGTCTTGTTCACTGCTTCCCTCGGGCATTTAATCTCACAAGTGATCATTTTCCTCTCAAAGGGTTTTGTTAGCGGCCATGTATGTCGTTGGTAGGAAAATGGCGTTGATGAGATTTGCCTTGGTGCAATTTGGTGATTGACCGTGTTAGCTTTCTGACGTCTGGTCTCGATTTCTATGTCTAGTTTGCCGTTTTCAGTAAATACGCTGCCCAGATATTTGATGGGATCAAAGTGGAGTATATACCCTCGGACGGAAAAAAAAACTATATTTCATCTCTCAGATGTTTCTCTGTCTGCGGACAGAACGCAACTGAAAATATTATTGAGCGGTAGCCCGGTATCGGTAAACAGCTGCCCGCGGATGTAGTCTATCATTGTAATAAAGAATGCGAGGGATCGAAAATAATACCGATGCCAGCGCAGCTGACGGTTGCGGGGCTGTGCTATTTTGGGACCTCACATCCGATCGACACATGAAACTGACCTTGTGATACACCCTGTCAGAGTGGGGCAACAAGAAAATTCAATAGCTTCTCGGCATTTAGGCTGGGATCAAAGTGTAGTATCTGCCCTCGGGCGGATAAACTACATTTCATATCTCAATTGTGTCCCTGGTTGCGGACAGAGGCGCAACTGAAAATATTATTGAGCCCTGCCCGGTCTCGGGAAACAGCTGCCCGCAACTGTACCTCTCTCATTGCACTAAAGAGGGAGAATCGGTAGTAACACCAATGGCAGCGCGACCAACGGTTACGGAGTCTGGTCTAAATCTCTCCACATTAAACTGACCTTGTGTCACATCCTGCCAGTGTACGGTGGCAAGAAAATATAATCGGTTCTCGGACTTTGGGCTAAGATCAAATTGTAGTATCTGTTCTTATCAGATTAATATGACTCTCTCTCTCTACTTTTTTCTTACTTTTTCTCACTGAACCCAACTAGTGTATTTTCCCCCTCTTTCCACGCGATCAAAACAGTCCATTATTTATGAGGTTTTAGTAGGGCAAGTGAAGTAGCAAAGGCAGGAAGAACCAAATTATAATAGGATTATTCCAACCATTGTCGTCATCGTCGTCGTCGGGCATCACTTCTAATGTCATTAAATAAAGGCTAATAGCTTTAACTATATCTATAGCTGTAT